CCGTCCGGAGTGCCAGCAGCCCGCCACCGAAAGCCGGATTCCAGACACACTCGAGTCCGGATGCCGGGCCCGGAGGAAGCAAGGAAGAGCGGCCGCTTTCCCCCTTCGGGTGTGGCGAACCCCCCGGGGATCCCCGGGGGAATGCTGCTTGGGGTTTTCCTCATCGGGTCTCGCCGCCAGGACATGTGCGCCTGAAGCCACTTCGCCCGCGTCCTGGACAGCTTGCTCGCCGTACCTTCGGCGACGGCGGCTTGTCTGCCCTCGTCGGAATGTCTGATCTCCGCTGTGTGCCCCCCTCCTGAAGGCCGGCCCCGGAGAGGCCGGCTCCCTCTGCCGGGCGGGCCTGGTCGTGGGGACCGACGCGGAGTTGGCCCCCCCCCCCTCCCGCCCACTCTCGGGCCGCCCGCCAACCACCCCCCCCCCCGGCCCAAGGGCTATTGGCGGGTGGGGAGGCGCGGTTCATTGGTACCTGCTCGCTTATCGGCATTCGCTCCGGATGGGTCCGATGGCGTGCGCCATCTCAGCGGAAGAATTCCCCCGGTGCTCCTGTGATCGCGGCGACTTCCCATTGCGGACTGTCCGCGGGGGGCTCCCCCCGCAGCTGGGCCCCGGCCTGGATGCCAGGCATTCGCGCGGTGCCATGCACGCCGGCAGGTTGGCGCCCGGGACGCCTGCCATCATTGGTCGATGCCCAGCCCCGGGATGGCCCGGCCCGGGTCGCCTCCGCCCACCTTGCCCGCCCCGCCGGCGGGGGGGGGGGGGGGGGGGGCCGCTGCCGCTTCGGGTTTTCGCCCAGCGGCATTTGCAGGACCGTCCGGGCCTCCCCCCCCCCCCACCAAGCTGTCTCCCGGGTTGTTCCCCGCCTGCGGGTCCAGTGGAGGGGCATATTCTTGTCGGTTGCCCACAAAGAGGCACCCAATACCACATCATTCCTCCCCCCCCCCCCACCCGGTGTCCCGTATGACTGGCCTGCCACATAATGGGTCAGCTCCTGGCACCACCCCGCCCGGAGCGGCTCAAGCCGGCCACGATACAGGCCCCTCGAATATCCCGGCGGCCGGCGCCCACCGTCTGTTCAGGCATTCCTCCGCCCGCCAGTGTCCCCGCTCTCCCCTCCTCTCGCCCCCTGCCGGTATCTGCCGGACGCGTGGCATCGTGGCACCAAGGCATCCGCCAGACCCCCCCCCCCCCTGTCCCCGGTGCCCCTTTGCCTGTGCCACCTCGGCCGGCTGACTCTGCCGGGTTTCTTCGGCTCGCAGCTCGAGCACCCCCGGCCGGTGCGCCGATGCCAGGGTGGGGCTTGCACAGATGCGCCGTCCGACAGGCCCGGCCGTCGGCCAGATCAGGGTCCGCCGGCGGGCCTGTTTCATTCCCCGTCGCCTGACCCCCCTGGGTCGCGGAGCACAGGCCCCGCCCAGGGTGCTGGCCTCCATCAACGAGGCATCCACCGTAGCACATAAGCGCCACCACCCGCTGGAATGGGGGCCGAAACAAGGAAAATAAAAAGGGGCCGTCCCTGTTCGGAGCAGCCAGCACCGCCCGACTGAATGATCAACCCGCCGCATCGGGTCCTTGTTTCCCCCCGAGCAGGGGACCCTGCTCCCGAGGCATGACCACATCATGCCCGGAGCATGTGATACCTCGGTCTGGCTGTTCGCAGCCCCCACCACCACCCCCGGGCCAGCCCAAGCTGGCTCCGGGCACCGTCCGCCCCCCCCCCTTCTCCAGCCGCAATGGTCCTACCCCGGCGGTCCCCGCGCAGCGCGGCCCATCCCGCGGCTGTGTCCCGTCCACAATCATAGGTCCGCACCCACAACCATGTCCCCCCCCCCCCCCGCCTGCCCTGTGTCTCCTGGCCGCCGCCGTGCTTGCATCGCTGCGAAAGGCGTGTTCCCCCCTGACGAGACACCCACCCGCCTCGCCCACCCCTGGGCGTCCGTCATTCATCGCCTCACGCCCGGGACCGAGCTGAGCACATCATATTTTGCGTGCGCGCTTGGGTCCTTCTTGCCGCTCCAAAGCAGGCCATGCCCCCGGCCCCTCTGGGCCGAAGCCCCGACCGGCGGCCACATCTCCCCTCACGCCCTTGCGGCAGCGGGGCCTGATCGCCGGTCCCCGGGCGGGCTCGCGCCCGGGAGGACCCCTTCCAGGCAGCCGGCCGCCACCCGCCCCGGAGGAGCACCATCGGACGCACGGTCTGCCGATCATCCTCCAACATGGGCCCGGATTTCCCCAGACGCCGTCCAGGCCGCGCACGCAACACATCTGCCGCCTGGACAGGGTGTCGGCACCGGCCGGGTCGACGAATGTCCGGACGATGCCATCTTCCGGGATGAGGCCCACCCGGCAATAAAAACTGGCGCACATCCCTGCCTCGGGTCATGCGGGAGCTAGAGCCGGTCTCGCTCCCCCCGCTCCCACCCCGCCCCGGACCCAGGTCCCCAATGGGCGCGCGCGCAGCAGCACGCCAGAGCGCCGGCTCTGGGGGCAGGCCACCCCGGCCGCCGGCCCGGCAGCTTGCTTCTCCTCCTCCTCGCGGCCCGTCCAAGAGGACCCATCCAGTGCAATGGGCCGGCGCCCCGGCCGGGAGCTCTCCAGGGCTCCTGGTCGCCGGCCTTCGCCCGGGCCGCATGGAACACCAAGCTCCTCTCCGGGTGATAGGCCACCCGGCCCGGCGATGGCCAGGGACGCTCCCAAATCCGGTCCACTGTGCCCAAGTTGGAAGGTCAGCGCCGCCCGCCCGCCGGGGGGGGGGGGGGGGGGGGCAAATAAGCCGCCTCCGCCCCGGCAAACGGCCTCCCAGCCCCACGCACCGGGGCTGGCGCGTGCCACGGGGCGTGCGCCTCCGCATGCATGCTCGGACCCGGACACAGCCAGCCCAAGTGCCCATCCTCAACCTGCAGCACCAGCATCCCGCTGTTCTCCGCCCGGGTGGCCCAGACACACCGGCGCCCGGCGATCCGGGCTCGGTGGATGCCTTTCCCCGTCCAGGGCTCGGGCGCCTGTCAGCACAGGCAGGCATGGGCCCGAAGGCCGCAACGGGCCTCCGGGCAAATGCCCCACGCGCCATCGGGGCGAAGACCTTGGCCGGGCTGCTGGCCAGCACCGCCAGCGAGCCCTCACCCCCGCGCACACCGGCCACGCTCAGCACCTTGCCATCCCGAGACGCCTGGCGCCGGTTCCCGTGTGCGCAGCAGCCCCAGCCCCCGGAAGGCGGGGGCATCCTGCCCGCCCCCCGCCCCCCCGCAGCCGCACCTCCCAGCCGGCCACCACAGCCAGCGTATCCGAGCCCAGCAGGGGCGAAGACCCCGGCCGGGCGGAAGGCCCGCTCCTGCCGGGTCCGAGGCACGCTCGCCCCCATCAGCGCCCCTTCCCCCTGGCATGCGGCCCGACCGGCAGAATCCGATTGTCATCCACCGCCGCCAGGTGCCGGCGCCTGCTTGCCCCGAGGCCGCGCCACTGCCGGCGTCAGCTCAAGGGCTGCCCCCTGCCCCCCGACCAGCCCCGCCACCGCACCTTTTTTTGTCTCGCACGTGTGTCCCTCTTCCCGCCCTCGCCCGGTGCCCGGGGAAAAGCACGCCCCATGCCGGACATCGGGTCCTCACGGGTGACGGTCCGATGGCCGATGGCCAGACCCGGCCGCGGCCCCCCCCCCCTCGATGACCCACTGGCCGTCGACCAGCCCCTGGCAGTGGTCCTCGCCCGGGCGGACGGCCGGCTCCAAGCACCGGTCCATACCGCGGCCGGTGCCCAGCGCCCGGGCGAAGGCAGGCCCCGCCGGCTGGGTGCTCGAGCTGCCCAGGGAGGGCCTATGGGCCACGGGGAGGGCTCCCATGCAGCGACCGCACCCGCTGCCCGAGGACCATGAAGCGCCGCCGGGTTCAGCACGCCCCCAAGCCCGTCGACCTGCCCGGGCCGGACCCCGGCCGCCGGAGGCCAGTGTGCCGCGCCCCGGGGGCAGTGCACGTGTCGCTGGCGTGCCCGGCCGCGCCCTCCCGCCTGCCGGTCCCGGCGTTGGCGTCCACCCGGCTTCTCGGAGCTGGACCTCGCTGATCGGCCTCCCGGACATCGGGCGAGTCAGTGCCCCGCTGGCGTCGCTGCCCGGGCGGCACCCTGAATGGCTGATTCACATGTCGGAGAGGGTTCTTCGCGCCGGCTCGCGCCCGAAAGCACCCCATCACGGGTCGGCTGCAGCAGGTGGCCATTCCCACGGAAGGGCCGCGCCAGCGCCATGCCCTCGAGGCGCGGCAGGCCGATCTGGCCGGCCCCGCCCGCCCGCCGGCACGCCCCCACCCGGTGCACGCATGAGTGGTGCCCTTCTCTCCGACGCAGGTGCCCCCCGCGGAGGAAGAGGCCAACCGCCCGCGCCTCCCCGCGGCCCCGGCGCCACAACCAAAGCCCACCCGCGCCGACGGGCAGACGCACCTGCCGGAAGAGGGAGACTGTGGGCAGCGGCCGCGTCATGCCAAGCAGTTGCCCGGGCCCATCGACCGGGTTCACCCGGGGCACCACCCCGCGGACGATGGCCAGCTCCGGGCGCGCCTCCACCGGCAGGTCCGACATCCGGCCGGCATGGCGCGCGCGCACGGTCGAACTCCGCCACCACCAGATGCCCGGCCCGCGGCCGAGGCAGCCGGTTCCCATGGGCGAAGAGGGCGCCCAGCAAGCCGAAGCGCACTTGCCGGCCAATGTCCGCGGCGCATCGGCACCGAGCCGCATGCCGAGGAGGCCCCGCCAAGCTGTTCGCGCACTTCGGCCCACACATGCCGCCCCTGGGCAGGGGTCACGCCCGGGCAGCGCAGGCGGTCGTCGGCGGCCAGCCAGGGTGAAGCCCAGCCCCATCTGGATGGTTTTCATGGGCACGGCCACCTGGGCCGCGCGCGCGGACGGGAGCATCGCACCGGCGGCGACGCGGCCCCGGGCTGCATCGTGGCCCGGGTCGGTGGCCATCCTCATCGGGTCCATCGGTCGGCGGCCGGCGCGTGCACCCAGGCGCGCGATGCGAGCCGCCCACGGGCCCCGGGGGTCGGACCGTGTGCCGCACGCGCCTCCAAGGAGCGAACCCCCACATGGCAGGCCCACCGGCCCGGCCCAGGTGGGCAGGTACACCCGGATCCCCCGCCGCTGGAAGGCCGTGCCCTCGTCCACCCCGGCCCGGCACCAGTACACCCGGCCCGAGGTGCAGCCCGATTGACCGGACGCAAGCGGCAGCCGGATGCCATTGTGCGCCAGCAGGGCTACATTGGCCGCCACGAGGAAGAGCGCCCGCCCCGGGGTGTCGAGCGGCCCCGGGCCGGTCAGTGCGTGTCGGCTGCCGGCCTGGCCGAGGCGCCGCTCCTCCGCCCGCCTCGCCCGCCTGATGGGCACGCGCGTTCGTCGGTACATGCGGATAGATGCCACGCGCCGGCTTCGGCGCCGCCAGCAGCGACCGAAGGACGCCCCTCGGAGCCAGCGCCTCCGAGTGGCGGGGCTCCAAAGCCTTGAATGCCGGCAAATGGACGGACGCCACACCCATGAAAGGCACATCCGGCGGCAGAGGGCCAACAGCATGGGGCCACGGCGCAAGAGGGAGGGGACCTCCATCTGCCGGGGCACCGTCGCCGGGGTGGCCACAAGGCCCCGGACATGTCCGGGGCGCCGGTCGAGGGAAGTGCGAAGCCACGCTCAGGTGGGGACCAGCGAAGGCACAAGCGGTAAAAAAAGGACGCACAGGGGAAATTGTCTTGGCGGGGCCCTTTTTGTCTGCTGACGAAGGGGTGCGTCCACCCCCGGGGGCTTCCTCTCTCTGTGTGTATATTGTGCCTCTGTGTGTCCGTGTGTATTGTGCCCGTGTCTCTTCTCTCCCTCTCTCCTCCTCCTCTCTCTGTCTCTGTCTCTTCGTCACCCCCAACCTCCCCGTCCAGGCGTGCAGCCCTTGAGCTTTTCCTGCCCCTACTACCTACTGTGTCTGCAAAAGCACATATCCGGGCACGCCTCGCAAAGGGTCGATCCATGGTGCCCTTGCCGCCAACCAATCTGTACCCTTCGATCCAAGCCAGCTCCCCGCCACTCCCAACAGCAGCCCACGCACGGAGGCCCTCCAGCAATCGGCACACTTGACAGAGCCCAAAACCCATGCCCCGGCGCCGACTCATGCCACAGTCGCCCCCCCCCGGTCACGGAGCGTTTTCTCCCACCGCCCAAGTGCATGGTCTTGGCCCGCACATGCCGGCCCCCTCCCCCCCGGGGGGCAATCTCGTGAAGCCCCCGTCTCCGGGCCTCGCATGGGGGAAACAACAAAGGGGCGAGGCGGAAACAGACTCAAGGGCGGGCGCCAGCCACCCCCGGGGACAGGGACGAGCTGGGGGTGGGGGCCATTCGCCTGACTCAGCGGTGTGACCACGGGCAAAGAGGTCCTTAACCGAACGCCCCCACTTAACCCGAGCGTCGTAGCTACTGTGCTATCGAAAGGCCAACGCCGGGGCCATGTGCCCGCGCGAAAAAAAGCATGCTCCCGATCCGGGAATTGAACCCGGGCCTCCCGCGTGACAGGCGGGGATTCTCACCACTATACTAATCGGGATGGTGTGCTGGATGCCTGGCCGAGGGCAGGCTATTTTACTGCTGCTGCCGCTGCCGCTGCTGCTGCCGCTGCTGCTGCTGCTGTTGTTGCTGTTGCTGTTGCTGCTGCTGCTGCTGCTGTTGTTGCTGTTGCTGTTGCTGTTGCTGTTGCTGTTGCTGCTGCTGCTGCTGTTGTTGTTGCTGTTGCTGCTGCTGCTGTTGCTGTTGCTGCTGCTGCTGCTGCTGCTGCCGCTGCCGCGCCGCTGCCGCGCCGGACCTCTCTCGACCCCCCCGGCCCGAGGTTGCCTGACTCCGCGCGAACCTCCCGCAAAGGGCCCTCGCGCGGACTCCCCCAGCACCGCCCCAACTTGCCCGGCCAAACGCCCGCACATGCCGAGGAAGTGCCTGGCGCGTGCGGCCCTGCAGGGGCGGGCCTGGGGGAGTCCATTCGTTCGGGCCACTCCGGCGTCAGCGCGACCTTGGGGTGGGAACATTTTTTTTTCCCGCTTCCTCGCCGGCACACCCCGGCATGCCGGTTGCCCGGAGGCCATCCACGACTCTCATGCCTGCCGGTGTCGGTGATGGCCTCGTCGAGACTGCCCTGAGTGCTGCGATCTCCCGGGCCCGGGGGCGTGACAGCATGGCCTTTCCCCGCGCCCAAAGCAAGGCACACCCCTCCCCCCGATGCCGGCGCACACCCCACCACCAGATCCCTGGCCCCCCCCCCCCCTCCCTCAAAGCAAGTGGCTGCCATCCCCTCGCGCATGTTCACAGGTGCGCACGCGTGCCGGCACACGCACAGTCGCACTCACTTGGGCTGCTGCCTTCCCGGCAGGGGGCAGCACCCGCTTCCTGCCCGGCACGGGCCATTGTCACGCCGGATGGGCCATCGTGCGGGGGCCCCGGCGGGCCGATTGCCATCCGGGCGCATGGGGCCTGGGAAATAAAACCGACCCCGGCCCCGAGTACTATCCCATGCGGACCACCCCTCAGGAAGGGGTCGCCACGGTGGAGGCGCATGCGATGAGCGTGTCGTGCGCGAGTCCCCTCCTCGCGCGCTCCCCCGCGGAGCCATGCGCAAGGGCCAACGTGAAAGGGGCCGGCTGCCCTTGTGAATTGCCCATGGCCCGGGAGGGACACCCGCCCGGCGACTCGACCCGCGGCCGATCGCCAGGCATCCCCACCCGACAGGGCCGCGCCCCCGGCGCGAGGAGGCCGCCCGGGGCCGAGCCCCGCGCCAGTGCCCATCCACTCGGTCCTCGAGCGAGGGCGCCCCACGCCCCACGTCGCCCAGCCCCCGCCCGAGGACCCTTCTTGAAGGCGCTCCCCGCCTGGCGGCTGGGCTGCCGATCCGACGCTCCGCACCCGGGGGCCCCTGCCCGCCGGGCACACACCCCGCACGGCAGGCCAGGCCGAAGGCCGCATCCCGGCCGGGCGCATCTCGACGCGGCGGACAGAGCCGCCGAGCAAAAGGAACGAGCACCTGGCATGCGCTCGATCTTGGGGCCGCACTCGGGGAGCATGGCTGCCCGCGCCAGAATCACTCCGGCAGAACCGGAAAGCCGACCAACCACACGCCAATGGGCTAGATTCATGTACCGACATGCATTGGACCCAGGTCGGCCATGTGCCACCGAAAGGCGGGCTCGCGGTGGCCCCCGCCCCTGGGGCCGGAGGCCGGGCCACAGCCAGGCTCCCCTCCGGGCGGGTCTTCCCCGAGCAGCTGCCACCTCGCCCCGTGTGCCGCCGGCCGCCGACAATCGTCCCGGGCCCTCTTCTACCGGGTTGTGGCGGGTGGCCTTTCCGACGGGTGGCCTGTCCCCGGCCCTTTCCCTTTCTCTCGCCCCCGCCGCCACAAGGCAGCCACTGGAGCTCCCTGGCCCTTTCCCCGCGGCCAGGGAGAGCATGGCATGAGGGCCTCTCGGCGTGGAGGGACGGCGTGCACGGCGGCCATCTCCCGCTTTGCCGTGCCTTCACCTCGCAGGATGGGGCGCCCCCTCCCGGTGTGGAGGAGGACCGGCCGAGGGTGCCCCCGTGCGGGACGTGCGAGCCACTCAACCACATATAAGAGCCCTGGATCGAGGTCCAGCAACAGCCTGTTTAGCTCAGTTGGTAGAGCATGGGACTCTTAATCCCAGGGTCGTGGGTTCGAGCCCCACAGTGGGCTTACACTCTCATTTTGCCGCCCCGTTTGCCCTCTCCCTCCACCCCGCCGCGTGTTCTGGGATCCCCGTCCTCCCCCTGCGAGGGGGGAGACGCCCGCGCCCGGTGCCCGGGGGGGGGCGGGGGCACCATGTGAGGGTCGCTTGTCCCGACGAGAGAGCCTACGCGCGGGGGGGCGCAGAGGGGCCAACGGCGCGTGTGCAGAGGCGGGGGCCGCGCGGACTGACGGCATCGACGCGCGCACCCCTTCGCCGGGGGGGGCCTTGCGATTGTATCGTTTTATCGCCCAGGGGCGTGGCCAGCGGGGGCCCGCTCGCGCGGGAGTCCCCAGGCAGATCGCGCGCGCCGAATGCCAGGAACATGCCCGAGGCTGCTGGCGGGTGCCACCCCCGCCGGGGAGGGCCCCGGGGGACGTTGAAGCCCGGGGGGCGGAGGGGCGCCCACGCACCAGCCAGGGCCGTGGGTTGCCCCGAGAAGAGCGAACTGCCCGCGTCCCCGCCATCGGAACCTGTATTCCGGACCGCGCCATACACACCAATTATTATTCCTCTTTTTCGGCCCTTTCTCCCCTTTGTCTGCGTTTGCAGATGGCTCGCTTTCCCGGCGAGAGGTTCCTCGTCTGGGGTGCCCCGGCCATGGTGGCCTGTCCCGGGCTCCCCGGCCCTCGCGGCCGCCACAGGCTTTTTGGGCGGCCTCCCCCCCCCCCCGCCGGCTCCCCCCTGGCGCGGGCCGCGCGATCAAACGCCCCACCCACCGGCCTGACGCCGGATGGGCGCCGGCCCCGCGCGCGCGCCCGCCCTCCCCTGGGCATGGTCGCTCCTTTCCCCCGAGAGCAGGTCTCGCTATTGGCCCTCCTTTGGGGAGGGGGGATCTAGCCCCGCGGCCGGGCACCCGGCGGTTTCCAGATGCCGGCATGCTGTCGCGCACTTCACCCGGCCTACGGGCCCCGGCCGGGTGCCCGCGCAGCGATCCTCCTCGAGATCGCCTACGCGCCCGGTGGCAGTGTCGGCCCCGCGGCCTCGTCCCCTTGCCAGCCGCCCATTCCCCTTGGCGCATGCCCGCTGCCCGGCCACAGGGAGGGGCCGCCGTTGCACGGGCACCGAGCGGCGCCTTGGCTCTTCGAGGCGCTGGTCCTTCCCCGGGGGATCGCACCGATGGCCCAGGGCAGGCACACTGCAGCCCCACTCGGCCGGCGGGCGTGCGGGCCCCCACCGTGCGGCGCCGGCCTGGGCCGCGACGTACCCCTTGCGGGGATGCGCCCGGGCGGGCAAATGTCCACCCACCGCCGCCCCCTGGGAGGAGACGCGGGCTGCCTTCGAGCAGGGGGCCCGTCCTGCTTGACGCCACCGACGCGAGGCTCGCTCCCTCGGCCGCGTGGGGCCACCTCTCGACCGGCCGGCTGGACAGCAGCGTTGCAGGCGCACTCGCCACGATCCCCCTGCCCAGTCCCCGCGCGCGCACACACACACACAAACAGCCCCGCAGGAGAGCGCGCTCAAAGGCCTGCGGTGGTCCCTCTTGCCCCGCCCGCCAGGCAGGATACACTCGTCGAAGCGCCGGTGCTCTTGGCCGGACCTCCATCAGGGCGAGCGTGAGGCGGGCATGGCTGTAGGGGATTTTTTCTTGCTCGGCAAGCAGCAGCCCCCGGGTGCTCGGCTTTTGGAGGCTGCCCTGCGCGCACATGTGTTGCCCAGAAGTCCGCCACCCACCCACATGCATGCTCTCCCTCGCTCCTTCCCTGTCTCCATCTCTTTCGGGCTCGCCCATGCCCCTCGTGCCCGTCCACCCACTGGTCCTGGATATCTCCCACGC